TATTCTCTCAATGCTGGTTCTTTTAGTGGACTTTGTTTCGCAAATTTGGGACGTGAATTGGCATTGGCTTATGTGATTTGAAGTTTTTAAATTTACTTGATTCAAGGTTGCTCTTTCAATGAGTGGTTTTGAGTCGACGGAGTGCCATAGGACTCTCTATGTTCTTCTTGGTTCTTGCAAGTTGATTATGGAATATGTTGAAAAAAGAATGACACTTTGATTGCTGAATTCTTTTGAATGTTTCGTTATGGTTGTTAATTCTGTCTGCCGACCCCAATGTATGAACGGACAAGGCTTATTTATAGTTCATATGAGCATGAAAGAGTTTCCACGTTACATGCACGGATTTGCTCATGTGCATTTGGATCATGTATGATTGATGAGGATCTAGAAAATGGTCAGCATTGGCAGGAGGATTTGATTTGAGTGTATGCATACATTACATGATTTTTATGTGATGGTAGAGTGATTTTCCCGCGATGTTTATGGTATATAATGCATAAATGGTTTTCCAACTTAGACGTAAATATAGGTTCTCTTTAATGACTATCCTGTCTCTAAATCTATAAGTGAATTTAGATTATTTGTATCGAGTTTTAGGATGTCTACCTATCTGAGTTTAGTTTTCCCTTAAGCTTACACGTTGATGGATTGAAGTATAAGGTCTTAAATGTTTTCTAATTGTGCATTAACTTCTGAATCAATATTTTATGGACTTCTACAGGTATTGATGATGCCAGTCTTCCATTTGGACCTGTCGAAGGTATGCAACTAGGGCTTTTGGCAATTTTATGGAACTAGCATCAGCCATTTCTATGTTCAATATTGTAATAAATGTTAACTATCAAAAAAGTGATATTTATGGAGGCTTATTTTTGGATTTTAGCATTCCTCCTTACGTCATGCATTCTAACACGTGCACATCATTTAGTGAAGTAATAACTTTTAGCTTCTCCCTTCCCTCACTGTATTTTCCGAAAATTTGCAACTTAACCAGAAGCAATAATCTTTGTTTTTGTTTCATTTAGTAAATGAAATTTATATGGCATATTAACAATTTTTCGACTCATTCTGTATTTACTCGCATGCTTTTACTTCCATTCTTGGGCGTATACAAAAACTGTAAAATGTTACAAAATAACGACAAATATGTAACAAATTTAACATAATCTAGTGCGGAACTCGTTTCAGCATCTTCTGCTGTAAATATGCTTCTAATTTTTAACTTTCTTTCCTTCCTTCCCTTTTCTTTCAAATTATAACTTAATGAACAAATGAATGAATATTTCATACCAGAGTACGCTTTTTCCTTATTCTGCTCAATCTGTTTTTCAATATTTATGTTTTAATAAAATCCTTGATACACAGCTAATGGCAGATCAACCCTTAACTTAGAAAGGCGTTTGGATCACGATGGTCACCCTCTTGCACTAACTGCTGCTGATACTGTTGGAGGTAGCGGCGTTTCTCCATGGAATTGGAGGGAAACTCCGGGAAGTGGTTAGTTTGCCTTTGTGTTTAGAACATTTCAACTTTATCAGTTAATTTTGTGAATATTTTCGGTTAAAAATAAAAATACAAAAGCTACCCTTCAAATCAAGCTTGCACCTTTGAGGACGAGGTAATTGGAATTTGCGTGCCAAACTATTGCGAGTCTCGTACTTTGAGTGGTCTTTTGAAATTACAAGTACCTCCCTCAATTATTTTCATGGCACTTTTTGAGCTATGTTTATTATTACTACTGTTACTATTATTTTTATTGTTGAAAAGCATCTCTTTTAATATTTTAAAGATGTTAATAGTTACAAAGGTTATGGTTATGGGGGTATTCGTAACTTCGAAAGATAGCTGTGGGTTCTACACAGAATCTCAAGGATAAAATAGAGAAATTCAACTCAAATATCGTTTTNAAAAGTGGTGCTTCATGCTACAGGATGCATGCTCTGCCCAATTCACTTAAATCTAGAGCAGCCGTAGGCTACAAATAAGAAAAAATTGAAAGTTCTATTTAACTTTTGTTTTTGAATGCTTGGATTATTCCTAAATACTTTTTCAAAACTTTTTAGCAGCTGAACAGCCGAATTCGTTCGGGAGGGTTATAACCGTAAAATTGGGTGATTATACAAAGAGAATAGGGATCGATGCCGGTGCAGATGCCATCAAGGAAGCTATCAAGTCTGCTTTCAGGCTTCGGACAAAACGAGCTTTTTGGTTGGAGGATGAAGAAAATATTGTCCGCTCGCTCGACAGAGATATGCCCCTCGGAAATTACACTCTTCATGTTGATGAAGGTAAATTTTGATGATGGATCTTGAATTTATCTTTCTATGTGATCATTGGAGAGTGGAACATTTACATGAAAAACCCCTGAGGTTTTCAGTTCTTTCAAAAACAGTCCATTTAAGGTTTAACTGAGTTTTACTATCAAATCAAAACTCACAAATCGAGAACTTTGAAAATATGGGTTTTTTGGGATTGACGACTAAATAAGTAATGACACTCTTATTTGCAGGCTTGACTATTAAAGTTTGCGTCTTTGAGGAGACAGATCCCATGCCCGTGCACACGGTGGATAAAACCTTCTACACGGAGGATGATTTTCGTGAATTCCTCAATCGACGCAGATGGACCTCTCTAAGAGAATACAATACTTTTCGTAATATCGACAGCTTGGATGAGCTATGCCCCGGGGCCATATACCGTGGTATCAGTATCAACTGACCTTCACTTTATTTTTTTTTTCTTGTTGAATGGGAACTACAATAGCTTATAACTACAAAATGTATTAACTTAACATCTCTTTGAATCTTTGAGATATGTGGTTTTGTAAATATAGAATGTTGATTAACAACAGTATTGAATTGGGTAGTTTGCTTTATGATGATATAAATTGTGAAATATTTTTCTCCATAGGAAAAAGCTATGCACTAGTCAATGTATTAATTGTGCCATATATTTGTTACAACTTCAATATTTCAATTATTGGTTAGTGTCAAAGTCAATCAATGACTCCACACCTCCTTATTACACCTAACATCTGGAAAACAAAANAACAAGATAGAAACAACACACCAGATAAAGAGGAGAAAAAGAGGTGAAAGATGCCTTGTAGACATCATTATTATTTTATTTTTTTTGGAATAAATATGCAAGAAGCACAAAGGATGATGTAGAGCCATCAATTTGACAATTTATAACACAATTTGTGTAAATCCGAAGGTTGCATATTCGATTTAGGGCGGGTTCAATTTTTTTCTTTTTATTTTTCCTCTCTTTCTTTATATTTTTCAATTTCTAATGAAATGTGAGATTTACAGATCGAACTCTGTATCAGCTAACCCCACCTTATTAACTTGAACTTGAAAAACTCTGTGGTCACCTATTTTGATTTTGTCAAGCAAAAAATGTCATGTTTGAAAATGTTGTATTTATGGAAGCAAATTGCCCAATAAAAAATGCACCGTGATCATGCCTAATGAGGTCAAATACCATGCACGAATAGAGATAGAGCTATCCAAAGTATGAATAAATAAATAAAAAGAAAGAAAGAATGGCATGAAATGTAGAGGCTAGTTGACATAGTACAATAATTATTATTTTTTTCAAAAAAAAAAAATATCTATTTTATTCCAATTATTAGTCAATCGGTTATATATGTATAATATAAATAATAATATTATAAAAATCATATTTTTAACATCATATTTTCTTCCTTTGTTTTTTCTTTTTGAGAGGAAGACAAATCAGATTGAAATTAACAAAAGGAAGACAAATGTCAACTCTTTATTTTACTCGCATTATGAAACAATTTGAAATAAAAACATAACTAAAAATTGAACGACATCTTCTCAATAAATGAGGTTCTCGTCGACATATTTTAGAAAAATGTCAACTTATTTATTTTTTTTTTTTACATGAAAAAGAAGAGGAATGAATACATAATTCAAATTTGGACTTCACTTTACTGCATAGTAATGTATCACACTTGTTTAGTTGAGGAAAAGTGAATGGTAGATATGATAAATATGGATAATCAATTGGCCTTCATGAACTATATAGTCATTTACCCATACTTTCAAATCGAATCGCCATAGTTTAGAAAAAACAATAAATAAAAATATGCTATATTACAATATAAATATTCATTTTTTTTATTAAAAACGTGCATAAGATCAACCCGACTAATGGTATTTCATACAATAATTTGTGATGAAAGTAATTGTGGAGTCAACAACTTAGACTAACGGTATTTCATACAATAATTTGTGACAAAAGTAATTGTGAAGTCAACAACTTGTATATATGTGTTAGCATTGGACAACTATATTTTTTCAATAAATGTGCATACTATATCTCATTCAAATGTCATATTTTAAATTATAATATAAGCATAATGCATGACATATTATACCATAAGTATGTATTATTTTTAAAAAGTATAATTATCGATTAAATAATCTAACAACAATATTTGTTTATAATCAATTTCCCCCTTTAAAGAGAGTAGAATAATGAAGAAAACAAATACAGCTGAAAAGTTATACATATGAATCTCTAGAAGGTGGTAGAACCTCTTTAAAGCATGGCCACGAAATATGTGATTAGCTGGAACTGTCCAAAAATGTGACATGTGTTGATGATGATAAATTCCGGGTCAGAATACATTTCTTTCCTTCTTACCGTTGCAACATATAAATCCAAAGTTTTTTTATCTTGAAAATTTCAAAAAATAACTATAAAATATTAATGTACGTTTTCAACTTTGCTCAAGCTCCTGATTATTTTCAAGGGTGCTAATTCATAACTTTGGATTATTTAAAAAAATGGACTACCAAAATAGTGGCCTCAATTGCAAATGGTATAATTATTTAACAGAGAAAAGGGAAATAAAAAATGGCTGATATTCAACAGAGATTTCTAAATTTTTTTTAAAACTTTAAAAATCTAGGTGCATTCAATTTAAATTTGTTAAAACTTTTAAAAGTGGGTATTCGATTTGGATTTTAAAAAAAGTATTACAAAATTCTGAGGTATTAAATTTATTTTACACTGTGATTTGTTAAGATTTTTTAAAATTTGGTGAGATTTCTAAACAAAAAACCTTATACGAAATGTCACTTCAAATTCTACATCCAGACTTGAGATTTCACACAATTCCTTCAAAATCTGAAAATTTTAAAAATCTTAAAAAGTCTCACATCATAACAAATCTTAAAATGTTACTTAAAATCTTAATTGAATACACTCCCAAAAATCTTAAAATATCACTTAAAATTTCAATTGAATACACCCAATACATGATTTCATGCGATAAATGGTGTAATTGAATAATGACACCTTCCCTTTAGGCTTTAACTTGTGTTATAATTGATAGCAGATTCAAGTAATAAATAGCTGGATTGAATCAAGATTTAGCCACTTGATTGAATTAAGAATCAATAAATTATACAAAGTATTTAATATATAGTTAATTGTTTGACATGTAAAAATAATTATAATTACAATGCTCTATTAGAATTTTCTTTTGGAGCTTTTCAAAATTAATCTTGTAAGCTAAAAAAGCTATTTAAAATTGCTACTGAACGAACAATAACATTAGAGTTTTTTTATCTTGTCTGCAATTAGCTGATTGTATTAACGGATAACAAATTATGAATAGCGGTTCATTAAAAATAATTGGGGTAAATATTATAAATTTATTTTATTAAGTTTTTTTTTAGTTCACTATTTCCAAAATGTTGTTACTTTGAGCTTTTTTCAGAACTAATATTTTGAGTTAAAAAAAATAATCAAATAAGTTTATTACCAATAAATTAATTAACGAATTTAATTGGTCAAACCTATAAATAAGTCAAATTTAGCATCAATCTTATAATAAACAAACAAATCTTATAAGATTTAACATCAGACCTCTAATTTAGTTACCAAAGATGATCAAAGAAAAATACTCTATTGTTTTCTCACACAAGATTCGAAAGAATAAATCTAACTATTTTCGCAAAAAATTCGTTTTTCTAATTTGGGTTTTCCCAATTGACTTCTTTTTAATATTCTTTACCTTTCTTTTTTCCCAAGAAACAAAGACCTAAAAAAAAAAAAAATTGCATTTCCACTAAACCAGCCTTTACTAGAGCACCTTTAAATAAGCCTCCAACCTCACACTGTTTTTCACATAAAGCTCTCTCATCTGCTCCCCAATTCACTCAGTAACACACAGTAAAAAACTCTTTTTGAGCTTTGTTTCTTTCTGGGCTAATGGCGAAGATCAAGATTGGAATCAACGGTAAGATCACTTTTTTCTCCCCCTTTTGATGTTTCTGGAAAAGGGTTCTCGTTATGCACCAAAAAGATCCGATCTTTTTTCAAAATTTTTATATTTGTTTCATATTTTGTGATTTTTTTTTGTCAGGATTTGGAAGGATCGGCCGATTGGTGGCGAGGGTTGCTCTGCAAAGGGATGATGTGGAGCTTGTTGCTGTTAATGATCCGTTCATCAGCACCGATTACATGGTAAATTTCCTTTCTTTTTCTTTCTTTTTTTTTTTTTTTTTTTTTTTTGAGTTGTTGNGGGACATGATTTGTTGAAGTTCTGGTTTTTATCTGCTATTAGCCATAACTAATGGTGAAAAAAATATAATGAAAAAATATTGCAGACATACATGTTTAAGTATGACAGTGTCCACGGCCCCTGGAAGCATCACGAGCTGAAGGTGAAGGATGAAAAGACCCTTCTTTTTGGTGATAAACCTGTTACAGTTTTTGGCCAAAGGTAATGGTCACTTTTTCCCCTCTTTTTTCAATTATTTTATTTAGTTCTTGGCATTCATTTATTTATTTATTGTTGGCAATGTTTAGGAACCCTGAGGAGATCCCATGGGCTGAAACTGGGGCTGAATTTGTTGTGGAGTCTACTGGAGTCTTCACAGACAAGGACAAGGCTGCTGCTCACTTGAAGGTTTCTCCTCTTCTTCTTCATCTTCTTATTAATTTTTGTTATTTTCTTATTCTAAAGATCATGTTTTTCTCAATAGATCTGGCAATTGATTTGTTTTCTTTTGGGTTTGAGCTAATTTTAAATTATAAATACATCTTGGGTTGGGATATGTTCAATTTGTCAAGTAGAAAGAATATCAGAGCTATTATTAATTTATTAATTTCCAGAGATGGATGTGATGTATTGTACCTGGATCTAATCTGAGTGTATTTTTCTAAATTTATCATTGCTGTGTTCTTTTAAGGCTTCAAGTGGTGAAGCAGAAACATAAAGCAGGGCTATTTTTAATCCTCGATTTATAGCTGTACTATTTTGCAACTAGGTTAAATTTTGAGTGAATTTTTCTTTTTGAACCTCTGCTATAATATGGTGTATGAATTTGCAACTAGGTTTTGAAGATTGTTGTTAAGACTCCATTGTAATATGTTCTTAGTATTGATCACAATATCCTTTTGGTGACCCCATTCAGCTGCTAGTTTCATATCTTTTCAGTATAAAATGGTTCACCATAAGAATTTTGAATTAAACTTGTGACCATTCCCTCTTTTTTTATCCTCCAATTTTTTTCCATGATATTAATCCTGCTTTTGTATTCAGGGTGGGGCTAAGAAAGTTGTGATCTCAGCTCCGAGCAAAGATGCACCCATGTTTGTCGTGGGAGTTAATGAGCATGAATACAAGCCTGAGTTGAATATTGTCTCGAACGCTAGCTGCACCACTAACTGCCTTGCCCCATTGGCTAAGGTTATAAGCCCTCAATTTCTATTTGTTCTTTTATTGCAAATTCTTGTTTTAATTTTATGTGTGGTCTATGAATCATGATGATGATCAACAAGTGCTTGATTTTTTCTCGGACAGGTCATTCATGACAGGTTTGGCATTGTTGAGGGCCTCATGACCACTGTCCACTCTATTACTGGTGAGTGATATTTTTATTTAATTCAAAGCTTGCATTTTTATTTTGTTCGTCTGATGTTTATAATATTATTTGTGTGCATAATCTATTAGCCACTCAAAAAACTGTCGATGGCCCATCGAGCAAGGACTGGAGAGGTGGAAGGGCTGCCTCATTCAACATCATCCCCAGCAGCACTGGTGCTGCCAAGGTATTTAAATAAAAAGCCCACTTGTTTTTCCAAGTTTTAATTTATCTAGCTTCCAATTGTATTTGACCTTTGATATCCACACAAGTTATTCGCAAACACTGAAAATGAATATCAAATGGTAGCTTTGGGTTAAGTTTCAAGGTGTAGCCTCTGTTAACAGCCTCATACACTAGACAATCTTTTGATTAATTAAAAGCTCTTTAGCTTCAATTTGTAAACATCACAATTTGCTTCAACCATAATAAATCAGTGAAGCACTTCTTTAGAAGCACATTATTTTGCTCTTTTGGCAATATATTCAAGACTTTTGAGATGTCTTATGTTTTTTTCTTTTTGGTACAAATTTTGTGAAGGCTGTTGGAAAAGTGCTTCCGGCCCTCAACGGAAAATTAACTGGGATGGCTTTCCGAGTGCCCACAGTTGATGTTTCCGTAGTTGACCTGACTGTTAGGCTGGAAAAAGAGGCCACTTATGAGGATATAAAAGCTGCCATCAAGTAAGTTATTTCTTTTTCTTTCTCTTAACAAATAACAAAGTAGATTTTTGTGAACTTACGATATATTCCAGTCTTATATTTTTTTCACCCCATTTGTGGAAAAATAGAAATGTTTCAATAGAACAGAGCTTGTGGGATTCCTGTAACTACCGAAGATCTTGTGGGATTTTTGATGATTTTCTTAAATTTTGGATAGGTCGAGCATTTTCGATGCCAAGGCTGGAATTGCATTGAACAAGAAGTTTGCAAAGCTCGTGTCGTGGTATGACAATGAATGGGGCTACAGTTCTCGTGTGATCGATCTTATTGTCCACATGGCTTCTGTTGCTTGATTTGATCGAGCTTTTTGTGGTTATGAAGCAATGTTTTCTGCTTTTCTTACTTTCTGGGTCTGACTTTGTCTTCAGTTTGATCTGATTATGGAATAAACAAGGTTTTTCTTTACGTTTGTTGCTTTTCAGAACAAATATTTCTCTGATGTGGTTGTTTGAGAATTTCCCTTTTGAAAAAAATATGAGAAATGAAATAATCAGCCTTTTTTGCCGTTCTTTATATATATATTAATTAGCTATTATTTATCCGTTGATCTTTTATATCTGCAATAAGCTGTTGGAAGCCTACCAATATGACCTTGATAAAAAGTTTGTTTTATTTATATTTTAGTGAATATTTTAAGATTTTTTTTAAATATAAAAAAATCCCATTACGGTATACGTAATATTTATGTTTCTGTCATTTATTTATGTTTCTGTCGTTTAGGGCATGCTTGTTTATGAAATAATTCATTTCATACTCAAAATCAAACTCAACTTTAATTCTATTCTATTATCATTTATATTATTTATATAATTAAATATTATAAACTAATCATTCTTACATATCACACCAACTTTAATTCATTATTCATCCACTCACATTATTTTAACTACCTATCATTTCCAATCATTTATATCCTACTTTTACATCAAATTATTAATAATTATTTTATTTTAAATATTATTTTAATATATTATTAAAATTTCACTAACAACTAATCCTACCATTTTTTTCAAATTTAACTCTAGTTAATCAAAATAACTCATTTTGAGCAAATTATTTCATAAACAAGCATGCCCTTAATTTTTGAAAAATTTAGGATGAAAGAAATAAGGACTCTTTTAAGTTTTATAAAAAGTTGGACTATTTGATGATTGAACATTTATAAGTTTTATAAAGTTTTTATAGTATATTGTTATAATTATAAATTTATACATTTTTTAACATTAATAATATAACTAATACAACACCCGTGTATTACACGGGTATTGAATTAGAAAGCTTTTGTAAAAAATATTAATTTTTTTATCTTTTAAAAACTAAAATAATTTTATTTTATATAAAACATTACTTTAGATTTTAATTAAATTGTCAAATTATATTTTTTTAATCATAATAATTAAACACACGTACATTAAATGAAAATGTCAACCCGTGTTGAATTTTTTTACTTATATCATATAAAAATATATATATTATTTATTATTACATAAGTACAAAAATATATATCTTAAATAAATACAAATAATATGGTGATATGTACATGCATAAGTGTAGAATATGTTTATTTAATACTATTATAAATATATATATAATTTATTTATTTTATATATATAATATGGATGTCAAATCGAAGTTCATCAAAAGATGATTAATTTGATATATTATATATGTAAAACCGATAAGAAATGCAAAAGTTATCAACTTTTAAAATATATTTGCAATTCAATGATTATAATAAGAAATGATATTAAAATACAATTAATACAAATATTAATTTATATCCAAATCTAACTCCAACGCATGATTTTTTGTCAAATAAGATTCCGAAGCATGAGAATTTGACACGTAGGCTCAGCGGATTCTAAAATTATATAAATAAGATTCCGAAGCATGAGAATTTGACACGTAGACTCAGCGGATTCTAAAATTATATAAATAAGATTCTGAAGCATGAGAATTTGACACGTAGGCTCAGCGGATTCTAAAATTATATATAGAGGGGAAGGGGATAGTTTGTATAAAAAATTGATGAAAAGCTAAATATTGATTAAATTTATTCAAAACTATTTTTATATATCCCTTCACTACTTTAATTTATATAATAGATAGTTATTATTAATTTGTATAATTCATCATTATTATTATGTACTCCTCCTAGTTAGTTTATAGATAAGTTTCAATTTAGTTATTCCATAAAAATTAATAAGTGATTTCCTTCCGAAAGTCTTGAAATTTAATAAATGTAGAATAATAAAATATTATAGTTATTTAACGAGAAAGTTTTGAAAAGTCATTTATAGACACACTTTAATAATAATAATATTATAAGAGAATCTTTCTGATTTATCACGATAAAATAAAATACAATATAGTAAAATAAATCAGAAGAAACCTAGTGAAAAAACGACATAATCTGCGAAAAAAGAGAAAAGAAAAAGGAAAAAAATACCAGTCAGTCATCAATCCTCCAAAACAAGACCTCATGGAAAGAAAGACATAATGGTTCCTACATAAACTCCACGTCTCCATAGCACCATATGTATGATCTTGAAAATTTGGTAGAGCTACAAAAGTGACTCGATACATATGAATAAAAGCAAGTTTCAAACAGTAGCCTTTTACATGACCAGACCACCATCAATGGTTAAAACCTACAAGATTCGAGCAAAACACACAGATGTCAGCTAAGAGTCTTCGAATGAGTCAAAAATGTTACAAATGTAGGAAATCTAGTTTTTTTCTGTGATTGGTTTACGTAAAATGTCAAATAAATTGAATTCTGTTAATACCTGTCCAGTGATATAACCAGCAGCAGGATTAAGGGCCAAGAATTCAACCAGCCCAGCAACCTCTTCTGGTTGGCCGTACCTTCCTGAAATTTATGTAGCAATTTTAGTTATTGCAACGAAATACTTGCACATGATTTTGAATAAATAAATGGAATGAAGAGGGTTTTTTGGCCTGAGCATATTTGAATCAATCTTATAAGCTTCTTGTATGTAGAAGTTATAAGGTGTTTGTTTTTAATCTTAAGGGCATGCTTGTTTACAAATAAATCCGCTCAAAATAAGTTGAGTTACATTTTGAGTATGAATTGAATGTGAATGAATTATTTTGTAAATAAGATGTACACAGTTGATTGTGATCAATTAAAAGAAGATAAAAGATACAAACCCAAGGGAATGGCCTCCAATATCTTTTTCTCAAAATCATTCCCAAGCTTAGCAGTCATGTCAGATGCAATAAACCCAGGAGCAACAGCATTTGCCTGTTAATGAATTAATGAAAAACTTGTATTTAGGTTTGAAGTTTCAATGCTAGTTTTGCACAAATGAGTTGAGATATTTGACTTCAGCAAACTCACAGTAATGTTTCTGCTCGAATACTCCTTAGCAACTGTCTTTGTGAATCCAATGACTCCAGCTTTTGCAGCACTATAGTTGGCTTGTCCAACGTTGCCGACAAGACCAACAACAGAGGCAATGTTAATTATTCTTCCCTACAAAGTTAAATCATCAATTTTATTTTACTTTGTAATTCATAATTTAGCAGTTGCACCCTTACCAGGAGGAGCTTTGTTGAGAAAAAGGGAACTTCAAG